TTGTGGCCTGTTTTGAATTTGTTCATAATTCATGATATAAAAACAGTTTTACATGTATTACCTATTCAGCCTACATCAGTTTAGCCCTGCCCATTCACATTGATGTTATAAGAAGTGTTCAGCTCAGACTGCTTTTTGAGGCACACCACAGGGCAGCCAATCAGAACATAGATCAATTACATGCAATTGGACAGCTGTCATGTAAAATTAAGTCTGACTGTTTTAGTACATGCAAATGTACAAGTAGACTTCAGGGGAAAACAAATAGCATACAAGGAAATGTAGGATATGGGCACTTTAATTTGGGTGATTCAAAGATAGCTTAGTTAGCAGTACAGTCTTATAAATCTAGAGTTAAGTAAGTAAGCACTAAATTAAGACTACTCGTTAGCTGAAGGCTGAGGCTCCGGCTGAACTAACAACTTAGAGTGATGGTTAGATTTGGTGAACACACACACATATAGACACAGGGAAGGTTTGAATAAATGTATAATCCCCTGTTATTCAGTTTGCCAGCCTTCATTCACAGCCACAATCCAGGCGTAAACAGACTGCAGTAATTTACTTCTATCTTAGACTCTATCAGGGCTTTTATATTAAGCCACTGGATCATTATTTTCTCTCTGGTATTCATGCCATGTCAGGGATGGTTATTAACTGTAGTGTTTCTAGGATAACATGGATTGTCAGGTCTTTTAATATACGTGGGGTGGGTTGGGGGGGGGTCAGCTGGTAATGATTAATGAAAAAAGATACTTTACATTGAAATGCTAACAATCTAACTTGAGCAAAACAAATTCATTTACATGCTTCTTGAGACAAGATGATGACCACATGACAAATAGATTTTATGATGTGGCCATGTATTCAAGGTCACTCAGCATGCCTGAACTCCATCTCCCCTCTCACTCACATCCTGAATTTATGAGGATGACCCTGGGGTGTATGTTACTGTTTTATTGAGTTTGTACTTGTGCTGCTTGAAATGGCTGCCCTTTTACCCCATGGGTGTATTTTGAGTGGGCAGCATATCATTATAGAGCATATAAACAGCTGAACCTAAAGTGAGAGAATGTTCTTGATTGCTGTGACTTGTATTTAGATAAGATCCTAGCCTCTTAAAAATACTGTAATCAACAGTAGCCTTTGTCATCAATAATTGCATGCAGGCCTGTGTGTCTCTAACCATTTTCTTTTCCTTTGCAAAACTTTCTTTATCTTTATCAGTAGTATTTATCAGATCATTTCTTTTAAAACTGCCATATTAGCATAACATTATTAAAAAGGGTTCATTGTAACAATAATATAGTAGATGCAAAATACATCACTGGAGAGTGGATTTAAAATCCAAAATTGAAGTCTTCTGTTATAAGGCATTGATCTAAAGAACTATGAATAAACTAATGTACAAGAGCACAAGACAGAAGAAAGTGATAAAGTGGGGATGGAATGGTTTGAAAACAAAAAACAGAAAGACAGTAAAAGAATGAGCACGATGGCGGAATTTAAGAGAATGCCAACGCGGACATTTGCGAGCTTCACTAGACCAATGTCCCGCACAGCCATTTTGGGTAAATGTCAAATGCTAGTGCACAAAAGTGCATTTCAGTTTCAACATTATAACATATTAAATGACTTTTCTAACTTCAGAGCAGTGATGGGGTCTACAATCACTTTTTGTAGCATATTTATAAACATAATATTTATTACTGTATGTAACTACAGCTGCAGACAACTATGTTTGTGACAACAAACAAATCAAAAGCACTCGTCAGGGCATATCCCTTTACAACAGCTTCTGTTACTTGGATATCAGGCTTGGCTGATAAATTGTTGTGGTTGTTTTGGGCATGATCTGACACCTACACTGTGTCCACTAATGCATCTTTCTAATCTTATCATCTGAGAGCTGTGCATGGTGGAATTGGGTTTGGCAACCAACAAGGCTTACATCATCTGGCTCAAAGAGTGACGGTTGCTGACTGAGGCAGCAGAAGAGCGCTTTTGTTAGTGCCAGGAATGGAGGTGGAAAGGAGAAAAAGAGACAGAGGACAAGAACAACAAAGTTCTTTCATCCTACATCACAGACAAAAAGTCGCAACCAGTCTGCTACTGGAACTGCCTTACCGCACCACACTATTCACTGTCATTCATTTAGGAACAGTTACAGACACAATACCCCCTTAATAGAAGTTGCACTTGGAATGCATGAGTGTGACATAACAAGTGAACAGAAGCACCATGCAAAATGAAGTTACAGTATATTTCCATCTTGTTACTATTGAAGGAAAAACTGGTGATGATGACAGTCCCTACAGATTGCATTTTCTTTAAACCTGAATGTCCTGCTATGAAGAACGCAACAAGAATTAAAGGCTTCCCCCACTCAGACATCTGACAGCAGAGAGCTAAAGCGTCATTGGGATTCAAACTCATGATCCCTTGTTTTCAAGGCAGTTAAACCATCACACCACAGGTTCTTTATCTGAGTACAGATAATGCTCTCCCTCTCATTATGCAGAACTATTTAAGCACAGTTAATTCACCTTTTCATTTTTTCTTGGACACAGAATGTTTGTGGCTTCTAAGTGGTGCAACTGTCTAACTGCCTGAGCAATCATGAGTTTTTTGTTGTTGTTCTTGTTTGTTTTTTCTAAGGAGAACTTTTGAATAAACTAAGTTTGAAAAGCAATGCAGAAAATTGACTCAAAAGTTCATGCTGACTTTTAATTGTTTTACAGTGTACTTCTAAAGGTAGGCAAAAATTGGATCTTATTGATTCTCACAGACATACATATCACTTGTCTGGAAATTAAATAATGAAGGGTGCTGTCTGAATTTTACGCTGGACTGTTTTGGCTTTGGTATCTCTACAAGACCTGTAGTGTTGGTAGCCTTTTGTGTCTTTTTCTTTTGTTTTCTGAAAACCATGGGGCCTGGAGGACGATTGCTCCTGTAGAACAAATGGAGATTAGATTTAGACTGTGATTGAAATAAGAACTTTTTTTTCACACCATGAGTTTACATGTATCACCAAACTGTCCTTGGAGACATGGTAGCATGGCTTGATGTTGTGGAACTGGGTGTAGTTGACCGTTTGGAGATTATTCTAGACCATTCAAGGCCTTGAACCTGTTCCATACTGTCTGTTGTTAGCATCATTAGCATGAACAACAGAGATGTGAACAAGATCTGTTGACTGAATTCAACTAATAAAACTGGGCCTCATTGACCAACCGTTCTGAAATTCACTAATGTTTTCTTATTTGAGATTTGTTCTTATTTGGGAATTTATTCACACTCAATAGCACAGAAGTGTGAATAATTCTACAGTTTAAGAACACGTCATAAATCTGACATAGACTTTTGTTTAGGACCTTTCTCAAGAACAAATTTAAGAAAAAACTTAGGAAGATAATGGTAAATGAGGCCTAATGTGCCAAGCGGTAAGAATTAATCTTTGTTATGTCTGTGTATCAATCCAAGTCACTTCAGAATGGCTATTGCTCTGTAATAATGAGTTGCATAGGTTGTCACATTCACACATAATTTATGTACAACCTTACATGCTTTGTGGAAATCTATATAAGTGGAGTGAAACCTTGGGATGATTTACCCCACCTCACCTCACATGTCCCTCTTTCCCTTTGTATCTTCTTTTCTTTGGCCCTAGGTAAATTTTGCTGCTTTATCTTTTTGAATTTGTTTAGGCATTTTTGACTTCAGCCTTTCCACAGGTTGTGTGATTATGCACAGGTGTTGACAGACTCTAAAAGTGTTTTCTATACTCCATTGTACTGCTTTCTTTTGATTGAAATTTAGAATGGATGTTGTTCTTATTTCTGAATTTGCAGCTTATCCTTTATTTACAACCCAGTGTGCAGCACTGCAAGTGCATACTCTAAGAGCGGGAAATAAGATTCAGTGGAAATATCTGGTTTAAAAAAATGATTCCGAAACACAGTATATCATATTCACCCTCAGGCTGATTTGATGTAAATTAATTTCAAAGTCAATTAAAAACAAATTATCATTTCTCTTTCTCCCTATTAATAATAATAGCACAACTAGTCAAATAAAACCTGAGTGCGGTGCTAATCCTATCTTTTAATTGAAAGTATGATGGGGTCAGAGAGGCTGAGGCTGTAATACTGGGAATAGATTTTATGCATGGTAATGACATTCCTATGGGCTGCCATGCAAAGGCACAACAGGTGGAAGTGTCTTCTGTCTCTGTGGATTTGGCAACCTTCAGAGCACACCTACCACAATAAGTAAAATCTTATAAACAAATCTTATAAATAAATCTTGTACATTTTCCTAAACTCTAAAATAGTAATTCAGATTTGAGAATGCACAGACTACAAATGTCAACATTGTTTTGCCATGGAATTTGCTGAATTGAAGGTACCCAAGATGGAGGACATTGCAGATCTCAACCATAGTAAAACATAACAAGCTCTAAATATACAAAAAACAACAACACTCAATCAATTAATGAACAAACATATGGTTACAGTGCACCTTTTCCTTTAGATGCAAGAAAAAGGCAAACTTTGTGATTACTGAAAGACTGTGCCACCTTTTTAAAAGGTCTTAAATGTCTTGAAAGTCTATCCAATGTGCCCTTGTGCGTTGCCCTAACCACATCAATCAAGATAATTATGGCAAACTTAATGACTAACAAAAACACAGACCACAATGACAACACACAAGGGATTATGAGACATGACACTACATACAACAGCATGTTAGTAAAATTATACAACACCGTCATGGACACACTCACAAATTCAAAAAACATTCTTTAGTTTCTGACTGAAATGTTTGATTGCTTTAACACGTCACGCAAAAGTTGCTCTTTTATACAGATTAAGGACTAGTTTTCAACCAAAACCAAACCACAGCTAACATATAACAAACAAAGAAGAAATTCTGAAATCAGTAAAACATTCTTACGTCACTGGAAATGGACAGTTTAAATCCAGACCATATCTTACCGATTAGTGGCATCACGTCTGGCTACAAGTGGCAGGTTGTTAATTTGTTTGTTTGTGTTGTTAGTGGTAGTGTTTGCCACTTCATCCTTGGCACTGAGTTCCTTATTTCCTTTTATCATTTCTTCGGCCCCAGAGTGTGTGCAAGGCGATCAGACATAACGGGCCAGTGCAGCCACTCTCTCCTTTTTCTCTTGTCTCAACAGCAGCTCACCTGAAGACTCTCAGAATCTGCAGAAAGCAAACATTCCCCAAAGTAGGATGACCAGGAATTAAAAAAAAAATTCAAAATGTATTACAAAAAAAAGACCTGTGAAAGCTGGATGGTATTCGGATTCCAGAAGTCCAGTAGAGAGCTCATTTATCTCCATCAAGCAGCTGAACTAAAGTGAACTGATAGTGCTCAATTTAACAAAGATATGTTACCACCAGACCTTGATGCTGAGGAAAAGTTTGTTGTAAACAGCAAATTGAAACTCAAAATCTGTAAGTCTTGAGGGTTGAATTCCAAGTTAATTATCCAGAAGCCATTTCCTGCAAGCAGCTATTATATATACTCCGCCTACAAAGTGTTGGCGTTTAGGACATGTAACATAACTTCCCATGTATAATCCAGAAGATCACAGGAGAATTTGAGGTCCATGTGCATAATGCAAGCTTCCTCATCCTCAGTCTGTCCTTCTGAGAGACTGAGAATAAAGTACGGAATGAGAGCACAGTAGGAGTCCAGGGAGAATTTCAAGCACACGCAGCCACTGACACCCAGAGCAGTCAGCTGGTGAACCCAAGTGTCACATACCAAACGCCTGCATTGAAGAGAGAAGGAAAAGAGAGGGGTGGGGGAGGATAGGGAGGAGTGGTTAGTGGGGTAGTACAAGTGGAAACTGAGAAGGCGACATGCGTGATACATCATGAGGGAAAGCAACAGAATGAAGCTCCTGCTCTCTTTTCCTTATTCTCGGTCATTTCCTCTCACTTGTGTTTGCTCCAAACTCTTGGACACTGTTCTAGTCTTGGACTATAATGCAAGGGCAATCTTATTTTGTCATTAAAAACCTAGTTAGTCTAGGCTTAGTATTCATCTGTGTCTTGAAATCCAGCAACTATGGTGTTAGCGGACTGGACTGTTGTTCTATTATGCCATGACACAGACGAGGAGTGTAAAAGGTTTTCTTAAACAAAACATCAGACAGGAAAAAACAACAGCAAATAAACCAGAAAACACAAAATACAAACACTCATAATCAAAGCACCAAGTGACAGCACCTTGCAAAGAATGAGTGTCAAACTGAAACTCAGGCTTAAAGGCACACTCACTGTCCTGTAGTTCACAATCGCACATGCACATAAGGACCACAAGGCTATAGAACTCCAGTCCTGGAGGGCCGGTGTCCAGCATGGTACTGTGATTTACCTGCTCAAACACACTGACTAAACCTGGCTATTAACAGATGAGTTAACAGATGAGTGTTTTTGAACCAAACTATGGTGGCCACCAGCCCTCCAGGACTGAAGACCAGAGTTGTACACCCCTGCTATAGGATGTTCCATTTCTCATTTTGGCAATCAGAGGGTTGTTCACTAGTGGCCTCTATGCATTCATACTGTGGTCTTTGCTGAGGACTGTAGTGATGCAAACTCAGCAGCAGCCTCTTACCCAAAATCCCATGAGATACAGGCTAGGACCTGTCAGAGTGGGTATGGCCATGGGAGGGAGAGGGAAAGGGGGGTTCATTTATACAGTGTGCAAAATTCCCCCTTGTAATCAGGGGGTCCCTATGTTCCACTGTGGGCTAAACACTTAAGTCTCACTATGATATTGTAGCGTGGGTAGTTCTCAGAAGAAACTTAGATGAAGGAAAGTTCAAGTCCATAATGCAGCTTTATTTAGAACTCGGCACAGAAAACAGAATACAGAAGGGAACATGCCCTCAGTCTAACTCACTGTTAGCTCACTAGGCTCAGTCACTCAGCTACAAACACTACACAGCAGAATCTAGCCCCACCTTTCACAATAAGAGCCCCTTCAAAAGAAAACAAGTATAACAGTTTCTACTAACGAAATAGCCTAAAATTAGCTAGAACAAGCACTTCAACAGGTTACACATTTATTTTTTTACTAAACAGAATACAAGCATGCTCTGACACTACAATGGCCCCCCTCCCCCTTGTTCAACAGCAGCGACGCTTACCAGTCCCACCAGACCAAGTGTTTGAAATGACTAGGAGCCCATTGCCTCCTCTTTAAGGGCTTCCGGCCCAAAAGGGTATCTTGTGTCCCTACAGACTTGGCCTCTGTACTGTCTGCTGCAGCCATCGAGGTGTCATGGTCCTCCTGGGTCACCGGATAGTGTTGAGTTGATTTCAAAGCTGCTGAAGGATGTCGACAGTGCTCTGGTGATGCCTAGGAGCCTTCTCTGTGGGGAGCATGAGTTGAGTCCTGGGGGGGTGTCATTCTGGAGGGCCCCAAGGAAGGCGATCCCAATGTAATACCATGTGGCACCAGGCACTTCCCACTATGAGGCAGGGTCCCATCCATTCACAGTCCAGATTACATACCCAGACTCTCTCTGCTGGCTGAAACTCCTGGCACTTGACCCACCGATCATAGTTCCACTTTCTCTATGGTCCACTGTGTCAAGGACACTGGCGAGGGTGCTGCTAGTGAACACCTCTCACGGCCTTCAGGAATCTGCCAACCTGCTCTGAGGCTGCATGTTCAGGTCTTCCTGAGCTGGTGACTTCCCTCACAGAGGATGAAGTTCACACTGCCAGATAGACCTGATTCTGCCTCCGCTCCACCATTAGCCACCGCAAGTGTAAGAGAGCATGCTTGGTCTTAGTAGCAACACAATCAAGCTGGTGTCAATGAAGGCAGTGAGCTGTTTCCCATCTATGCTGCACTTGACCCAAAGTCAATGGCAAGAGCTGATCTTACTGGCTGGCTTCCGTTTGCCTGCTGGCTTAGGTTTGCACCCTTGACTGGCATGGTGTAACCTCTTCCTGCACTTCCAGCACACCAATCACCCCACCACCACTCATTTAGGGGTCGTGTGGCAAGTCCTCTCCACCCCAAGCTCCTCCGCTGTACAGCCTTGTGTTTCTCACTGCAGTGTCTCTGTGCCAAAGACAAGCTCCGCCCAACAAACCTGGCTACAGCCTGCATACTCTGCCAAGATCGCCTCCATCTCTTCTGCATGCAGTAAAGCCTCATCCTGGCAAGCTGACTTCGCAAGCCACAACTGTTGCTGGAGCCTTAATGGCCTTACTGCCTGGAGGAATTCATCCAAAGCTAAGCTATGACGGGCTGCAGGTAAACTGGCCAACTCCCTGCACCATCTTAACGCCATACCTTAGGCAGATTCACTGGATTCGTACGGGTGGCTTTGACTCATGTCAGGGGCCAGTAGTGGCATTGAGCAAGGATGCTGGGGAGGACATGAATTTGCAAGAGCATACACTTTGCTTAGGGACTGGGGAAGTCATCCCCAGTTGCCCATGCTTCACAGCAGCTTTCTGCTTTCTTTCGCCACCTTTGAGAAGGCATACTCTTCTCCCAAGCCACTAGATCTGGTTCTTCACAGCTTCTCCTTGTCCTCCAAAAGCCTCGCCTCACTCCGCCATACTTGAGCGAAGTGAGCTTCTCCTGGTGCTCTGCTGGAGCCTCACACCACTGCTGGGACCGACATCTCATTGCTGCTTCTCCTGCAAGTTCTGACACCTTTGAGATGCTATTTTACTGTCACATCGGCAGGTAGGTCACAGTCAGGAACAGGGCAAACGCCAACTGCTACCTCACTGTCCTCTTCTTCACTGGAGGAGTTGTCAAACTTAGTAGGAGGTATGGCAAAAGCCGACAACTTGCTCCCTCCAGCAGTACTGATGTTAGCTTCAGAAAGGTTCAAACTTTCTGTTAAAATTTCTTCACTTGTGAGGTTTTAATTATTACAGTTTTTTTTTATGTGAACCCAAAATGTAGTAAAACAGAACTTTGCTTTCTTTTTTCCATTTTGGAGTGGGAAGCTAAAGCAGCACAGAGCGGGAGAATTCTATTCTTACTTGCTGTAAATTGGGAGGAGCAAATAACATACGCCATCTAGGGGGCCCTGAGGACCAGTTTGTGAACCACTGTTTTAGAGGACTAGTTAGGTATAATAGCAACTAAATCTAGTTGCACCCCACCCCATTGGACTACAACAAAAATCCATGACTATTAGAGTTAGACCTTAAGTCTGGGGCATAAATGTCAAAACTCAACCAAAAATCATAAGAAAACAATAATAACACTTGCTACTGTAACAGTTGCTGGACTAGTGACAATACTGCTAATTTCTGTTAGCCCCTAGTTTAAATTTCTAATAGTGTGTTTAATGACCATTCTAGATTAAACATGTTTTCAATTAGACATTTGAAGCTTGCAGAAGGCATTACATAATTTTATGTGACATTTACTCAGAGAATTATATGTGTATATATATATATATATATATATATATATATATTTTACCTGGTACGTTTAAGTTTTACGGTGATACCAAAATCTGATTTGACAGTTTTCTGTTGTAATTTTCTTCAATTCTTTCATTTCCATCCAAAATTTAACAATGGAATAATTGCAGAGCTTACTTGCAAAGTTTAAATACAACAAGCATGATGATTTTACTAAATAAAAATAAACCAAAAACTCATAGGAAATTATTAGGCCTTTCTGAAGGCTGAATGGCTACGAGGGTTCTCCGATGCTGCACTCATACCGAGTGTGCCTTGTGGTAAAGCCTGTGTAAATTTCTGCAGGCAGTGTTGGAATGCACTTTCAATCCTCAGTGGACTGCACAGCTGTCATTTGAGGCTCAAGTCCCAATTCAGGGAGTGCCCCAATAACTCTTTCTCTGCTTGCTACACTCACTCTCACTGAAACAAACCGTGCTTGCTGGTCTCTTTTTCGGTCTAAAACTATTAACCCACTTCATTCTCCACTTCTGCCCTTTATCACTGCTCACCATTATTTATTAACTGTCTTCTTTTTTAGAGCTCAGAGAGGGCGCCAGAGGACACATTTGAAATCTGTGTCAGCAATTTTTTCAGATTTCTGCTAATTATGTTGGAACGGTGGAAAATTATAGGTTGACAGCATATCTAAATAGTATTATTTAAGTCGACTGAGAAAGACACATGTTGACATACAAAAAAAGCAACATTACTTAACCTTTGAATGCTCTATAAACCCTCTAATTCAATCAAACTCAGTCGTTCTAATACAGGATAAGCCAGTACCGGAAGGGAGCCACGATACCTTTGAAATAAAAGATCATTGTCTTTGATGTTTATGGAGTTAGGATCTTATGTGTGATACACAATACTGAGTCATGTGGAGGAATGAGCTCAGATAAGAGGACAGGTCTTATTTTGGTTGCTATTTGGTGTCCTTGCCAAGTACCTACACAAGGGACAAGCTTAGCACCTTGTTCCAGGAAGGTTAGAGCAAGCCCTTGGAAATCTTTGTAAAACATTGGGTTTAATTTAATTATAAATCCAGTTCATACTATCTTAAGGTCTGTGGTCAGTTTAACAAAAATAAACATTTTTTGTTTAATGCGGTTCATAAAAAGCAGTTTTGATAGGCTCATGAATGTCACCTAAATGTAGATGATTTGTCTGTTTGGAGTGC